CCCCAAAACCCCAAAACCCCAAAACCCCAAAACCCCGGGTCTAACAAAATTAATTGAAAATGACCCACCAAAGTATAAATAAGGGATACTTAATCCCAATGGCTGTGACGGCAGCTTTAGGTTTTCTTGCTCTAGGATACTCCTTAGCCTACTACAATGCGTTCACTGACATTATGTACAAGAAATATGCAGAGAAAGGACAACAAGTTGTCCAGGATAAGAATATTTTCAACTCTCTTGTCTCTGGTGTTGTTCCCTTTGGTGCCATCTTTGGGAGTGTTATGATCGGCCTCATTGTTGACAAAGGTAGACGCTTTTCGTTATTGGTTGTTGCATCTGTGTTAATGGCAGCAACATTACTAAGCCTGGTGTTCAATTTCTACGCTCTGGTGCTTGGAAGACTGTGCATGGGCATTTGTATTGGCTGATACGCGACATTGTGCCCACTATACATATCAGAGATATCACCACCAGAACTATCAGGATTGTTAGGAGTGTTCACTCAGATGGGAGCTTGTACAGGAGCATTCATTGCTTTCTCAGTCCCATTCATCATGCCATTGTCAGGTAACATCTTCACCTAAATTAGACGTGTTTACACATTAACATACTTAACTAACTTAAAAGTAACCAATACTGTATAGAAAGTTCAGAAGTTTCAGAGCAGAACCAAGGATTCAGTGTCGACTCTCACAACTGGAGGATGATCTTTGGGTTGCCTTTCATGATCGGTCTTGCACAGCTCTTGCTTCTTACATTAGTTTTCAAGCACGAAACCCCTCTGTTCTACCTGAAGAAGAGAGACAAGAGCAATTATGCAAAGATTATGAAGCTAATTTATGTTGGTTGGAAGCCTGACACAGATATTGAACTTGCTGAAATCAAAGAAGTCAACAGATTGATCGAACTAAAGGAGGCATCCAGAGATGAGTAAGTTCCTACCACCTGTCTATACTTGGTCATGAGAACCCACCTCATGAAAGTTCAAAGTATCTTTTAGAATCGTCATGTTTTACATCCCAGTAATTAAGATCTGAGCTTAATTCCTGGTGCGGTTTCACCTATTCTCGATGTTTTAGTGCATTCCTAATTTCATCAATTATCGAAGCAAAGAAGAGTGAAAGGTTTAGCTACATAAAGTGATTGCCGATGCTAATCAACAAGGTTTAGAAGACTTTATTGATGATTATAGCTCTACGGAGCTGTAATTTGCTATTTCTCTTACATATCTCACTTGCTTAGAGAGTTGATCTTTTGGCCTCAAGAGCTGAGTTATACTATAGCCAATGCTCAGATTAGCTTAAGGCCACCTTTATACAGCTCAAAAGAATAGATAAAACTCAAGTTCAACTCAAATAGTCACCTTAGAAACAGAGAGATAGTGATTTAGAGATATTTTCCAGCATTGCCATCTATGCTGAAAATAGTTTGATAAATTTACTTGATACAACAATAGTGTGTTATAGGTCCATGTCCTGAAATAGGAGCCTCCTAGAGTCCCAAAATAGCAAAGCGGGCCGGAAGTCCCCTCCAGGATACAAGAAAGCACTGTTGATAGGTTCTGCACTCAGCATAATGCAACAGCTCACTGGGATTGGATGAGTGGTATTCTTCTCAAACGAAATCTTTATTGTTGGTAAGCTCTAAGCTAATCAAAATAGGCCGTACAGGATTTGATGCTGCCTACAGTGCAAGGGTTGGAACTTTACTCGTTGGTGTAGTGGGCTTCTTAGGTACAGGACTATCGATCCCACTCCAAAAATTCTTCGGAAGAGTTACATTCATTCAGTTTAGTGAGATAATAATATGAATTTCACTAACACTTTCTGGTGTATGAGCCTGAATGGGAAGCCAATTTGGAATCATCATCTTTACATTGATATTCATATTCATGTTCAACTTTGGAATTGGACAAGCAATGTGGGCATACTGCCCAGAAATCTTAGACAGTCGAGGATGATCCATTGTTGCCCTTCTCAATATGATTTGTTGTTGAATATTTGGAATATTCACTAATCTAGGTAAGCTAGCTAGTCTCAACTAAAAGCGTTCAAATATTTGACTGCTCAAGGCGTATACTTCGGTCTTGCAGCCATCCAGGTCTTCACAATCACCTTCGTATGGGCATTCGTCAAAGAGACCAAAGGAAAGACCAAACAGGAGTGTGAACAACTATATGCCATCAAAAATTAAGCAGGAATAAGAAAAAGAGGTCAAAAATATATAAACTTCAACTATACTACACTAAATTGGGGTTTTGGGGTTTTGGGGTTTTGGGGTTTTGGGG